AGTCAGGGTGTAATTCAGTTCAATACACAAATACTTTACTTTAAATGGGAATGCATGGAAAATTTCAGGCTCCATGGTTTGCTGGATGAATCTATGCTGATGTGCAGCAGCTTATAAATATCCTGTTTTTTTTGCTTGGTGGTTGACTATTGTGGTGGTGGTGTTCTTTGCTGTTTTAGGGTGTTACATCTTTACCTTTTTTTACAATCATCCACACAGAAACTATGTTACATAAGCAGGATTTAATTATTATTATTTGTTTTTCCAAGTACAGCAACAGTGTTTAGACATGACAAATCTCTCTTGTGAAATTCCAAAAAAGTAAAAAAAAAAATCAATCCACTGGCTTTGTTTCCAAGTTTGAAGACATTTTGCTTCCCATCCAGGAAGCTTTTTCAATTCAAAATGTCAGAAATGGCGTTGAGTTCAACTCTTTTTAGAGTGGACCAACGCAAAGCCTTGTTTTGGCTTAGAAACATGCAAAATGTTTCTCTTGTGAAATATTTTTTCACCAGTAGATGGCCTCAGTGAACATTTGATGCTACTATTAACATCCAGAATGAAACTTTATTGCAACACATTTGCTTTAGAGCATCAAGACTTCAACAAAGCATCATCTCAGAATCACTAGACAACATCAATTTATTGTGGATATTGTAGGTTATGAATCTCAATATAATACATAAATGCAGGCTATAAACATTATTCCTCTAAATAAAAGCTGAGAATATTATAGATAAGAATTTTGGCCATTAATATTATTGACTCCAATGTAAGCTTCCTTTACAATCCCTTGTCTATATTGATTCTGGCCCAACAAACTTCTATGACACCCAGTTGGTTTGTTTTTTTTTCACTTTATTAAAATAATTTAATGAGGACATATTCAGTGTTAGCAGTAGGTACATGCTGCTTGTTTGTTATTTGAATTGGGAGAAATTGGTCCTGAAAAGTTTTTGAATTTGATGTAAAACAAAGTTTGAGAGCTCTGGTTTTAGAAGCTGTTGAATTTATTGTGGATTTTACATTTACTCCTGTGTCATTGTTTAACACAAACAACTTTTTAGGCCTGTCACCAAAAAAAAGTGTTGTGGCAGACGATAGATAACATCTAATAAAATGTAAAATAATTTTCTCAATCAGTTTGAATCCAAAATGCTTGTTTAAATTCCTCATTTGATTCATGTAAAGAATACCTCTTTTCTCTCTTATGAGAGTTTATTGTTTACATCCTTGTTTATTAGCTCACCCAGAACCCACCAACCAAGTATTACAGTTGTTTCAGCTTCAGGCGGTTTAATTTTTATTCTCAGACTTTTCTGTGTGGATGCCTTATTTGAAGTTGTGTGGCTGTAGTCTTCAAATCCTGCAGTCAAAACGTATGGCTTAAAAGCGATTCTCTGCAACTGTGTCTGAGTTCTGACCAAGGAGGATCCCTGGTCCATCTAGGTCAGGCCTGAATATTGGCAAAGCTGTTCAGCTCTAGTGAACATTTGACAAGAACGACACAAGTCTTTTAAGAAGAGAGATCCATTGGCATGTAAAACACATCTGCTTTGGGGGGAAAAGCATAAGAAAAATCCCTGTATGATGAGGAAAAGTGGAGTTTTCCCCCCCGTGTTTTCTACATATACAGCAAGTCGGGAACACTTGGATTAAAACAGTCAATAAAACATTTCCATAAGTGGTCTTACTCTTGGTGGGAGCTCAGAATACAGAAACTGCAGCTTTACTGCTTGTTTTTATTGGGGGAATTTCCAGTGACTACTCTCCCATGAATACTTGACTTTGTCAATATGGTGGCCCATAGAGTGACCCTCTTCTAAAGCCAGGATGACAAAAAAAAAAAAACTGATTGGAGCTTGTAGAGTTGGACACAGGAAAATGGTTGTTTTTTATTTAAGAACCCAATAAAATGTAATAATTTAATACTGTCACATCCTACTCACAGTTTTAACTTGAACTTGCAGGTGAAGCAGCAGGCTTGGCTCTAGGTCTGGTCATGCTGGGCTCTAAGTCAGCCCAGGCCATCGAGGACATGGTTGGCTACGCTCAGGAGACTCAGCATGAGAAGATCCTGCGTGGCCTCGCTGTGGGGATCGCCATGGTGATGTATGGACGCATGGAGGAGGCCGACGCCCTCATTGAAAGCCTCTGCAGAGACAAGGTCTGGCCTTGAGCCACGCATGTACACGTTTGGTCTTCATAATAAAGCCAAGTATAGACCAGTATTTTACACAAGAAGAAACAGCTGATTTATCTTTAGAGAACAAAAAGAGGGGGATGTTTCGGAACAACGTAAAAGCCATTGTTCTTTATTAGCTGTTTTAGTGGACATATGTTTGATGTATTGAGCACTCTGTAGCAGGCTGTTTATTTTATGTCACATCAGGCTTCTCTGTACTCGATGCCAGGATTCTTTCTGTTAAAGTTAGCCGTGGGGAAATGACTCAAACCTAAACAAACATAGCTCAACTCTCTGCTTGCTCTCATTGTTTATGATAGGACCCCATCTTGAGGCGATCTGGGATGTACACTGTCGGAATGGCATACTGCGGCTCTGGGAACAACAAGGCCATCCGACGCCTGCTGCATGTTGCTGTGAGTTTTATCTTCCGGTCCCTAAAGTACTCATGTTGGCAGGTGGACAGGTCTGATTAAAAGGACTTTTTGACTTATGACCTGTATCTAAATGAACGTTTTGATATCTAGTTTAGTGCAACCAGTCTTTTGGGATTTTCTTTTTTTTTTGGTTGGTTTCAAAGCTTTGGGCTTGTTGTTCCAAATCAGTTTCAACCACAAAATAAAGTTTAAATGCATATAAAAAGCAGGATAAATCAAGTTTGTCCCTGCAGCTATGTTTCTGTGGTATACCACTTATGTTTGATTAACCTTTTGGCCTGTAGGGGGTGGTATCTGCAAGAAAATTTAGAGTGGGAAGTGAAGGCGGAATTGCTTTTTAATTGACTGACAGCTAGATCATAGAAACAAAGTTCTGAGGTCAGTTTTTTCCCTCCGCCTAATTGCTTTGTTTGTTTTGATTAGGTGAGCGACGTGAACGATGACGTCCGACGAGCTGCTGTTGAGTCCATTGGCTTCATCCTATTCAGGTATGATCCAATCAGTATGTTGGGTTTTTGGTTTTTCTAATCTAACTCATGGATTGCTTTGCACAACTGAGACTAAACTGATGTTTGTTTTAGTAAAATGTGTGTTTGAAATAAAGTGTATCAGAGCAGGAATAAGTTACAAGTTTAGGACTAACAGGATGTGACTTTTTAAAAAGTTTTTCCAGTATGCATTAAGAGGGTTTATTGTTTTTAATATACCACACAGACTTATAGCAGATATATAAAGTGGTAAAGGTGAAATTGTACAAATTATTATTTTTTTTGTGTGTGTGTGGAGGGTGTTTATTTTTATGCTGCACAGATACAGCTTCTTTCAAAAGTATTCACATTTTTGACTTTGACTTAACAGTTCTGTTATTTTGTAACCCAACCTGAGTCTAATTCATTCTCAGTATGAGTCCAGCTGTTTTAAATGGGCTTTCAGAGGTGTGTTGGAGAATATTAGAGTGACTGGTGGGTTAGGGTCAGAGAGCATGGTGTTCTGGAGAGGCCACCGGATCGGGGTTCAAACCTCAGTCCCTGTTGGTCTCTGACTCTGACCTTTAACTCCACGATGATCCGTGGGAGCTTTTAGTGTGGAAGCTCGCTGTTTCTAAAGGGATGGATTAAAAGTAGAGGGTGCATTTCCACACTTTTGGACACTGAAGGGATATTTATTTTTGTTCCTTTTTATTAAATAAACGGCATCAAAAACACCAAGACCCATAATAGTACAAGAATGAACGTCAGATTAGTTTATGAAACATAACTTTGAACATTTCATAGAGCTCTGTGTGTGATATATCTGACAATAACATTACATGGCAGAGATGTACATCCACGTCAGCTGAACAGCTTTGCCAAAAGTCAAAATTGCTAAAAAAAAAAAAATCTTTGCACTAATCAAAAGCAAGCAGCTTTCATTGTTTTCAGCTCAATGAAAGTTTGCTTTTCCAGAGTTTATTGTAAAAGGACTTTACTTTTATTGTTGTGCAGAAAAGTGCCTACTTCAGTCCACAGGCATGGATCTAGGAGCAATATCTCTACCTTATTGTTTGGCAGGAAACCCCCTTTATGCATATTACTGCCAACTAAAGTGCTGGGATGAGAGTCAACTCTTACTCTTAAATGTAATCTGACCATTAAGCTGATTTTATTGCAAATCTAATGAATTATCCAGCCCTGTTGTTCAACTAAACTGACTGGCTGGCTTAGTAAACAGAGAATCTCTCAAAGAAGCATTCATGAGTCATGATAAACTCTGGAGGAGTTGCAAATCAAAGGATCCAGCCTCGGGACAAATTTAGAAGATTTGGCCTTTATAGAAAAATGTTAATGTTGAAAAAAAGCTAAAAGAAGACTCTTTTAAAAGTTTGTTGCGTTACATGAATTTACATTTCTGATTTATAATCAGAAATCTGTGTGTGGCAGAAAACCTGCCCAGCAGAGAATCTCTTTGAAACATTGTGGTGGACGTATCATACTCTGGCAAGACTCCTCATCAGTATGGACAGTGAAGCTGTTCAGAAGTACAGATACTGAGCTAAATACGATAAGCTAATCCAATGACACTGGGATGGAGCTTCCTCCTCCTTAGCATCCTGCCAGAGCAAGAAAGGAATGATTCACATTAAAATATATTGTTGGGTTAAAGTGGCCTAGTTGAAGCCCAGACAAATCTAAAAGATAAAATGTGGACAGAGGTATAAAGATTGCTTTTTGCTGTTAACATGGACTTGAGCTACTTGATAAAGGATGCATATTTAGAATATAGGTGGTAAAACATGCAGAGATGTACTACTAAAGACAAACGGCTCTTATATGGGCATTACTACTCGTGTGCAAAATCAATGTTTATTTACAATCCTACACAAAGTTTAACTGGTTTATTACATAAAATCACAATTAAGTTTGGGGTTTTTCTTGTAAAAAAAAATCATATGTATCAAAGTATAAAAATGTGAATACTTCTGTGAGTTACTTTATTTACAGAAACCCTTTTTTTAACAAGAATAGAAAGCTGTGCAAAAAAGGCTGTAACTGGTATATGATCAGTGTGCTGCTAGAAAAACCCTGCATAAATCTCCTTTGTTTAAAAAGACTCATGAACCACAAGATTACATTTTGTCCACACTTTTCCAACCCCAATGACTCATTGTTGCATGAGCGCTACCAAGCAATCAGGTCTACTCCAAGTCTGAGTCTTCAGTGTTTCTCTTTTCATTATAAACAAATAGAGCTCTCGTAAGGAGTCGGCGGCCTAAGCAAAAATAAACCCTTCTCACTCTTTGATTGGAAAGCTTCTTTAGCGCTGTCTAGTTCTGGTATTACTCTATCCTTTAATCAAATTCTCTTAATTAGGCTGAACTTGGTCAAAGCTAGAGGTGTCATGGTTGGGTTGTTTTTGTTCCTGAAAGATGCATTTATCTATATGAACATGGAAAGTTGCAGTTGTGTAATTTTTTTTTCCCCCTTCAGATTTTAAAAAGATTTTATCCTTGGGAAGAAAAAAAACAAAGCCTAGAATTGCATTTATCTCTGGTCAGAACAAAGTATTTTATTGAGAACATTCAGGTTTCCATTTGTACTCTTTGTTCATCCGTATGTACATACTGATATTCTGAATATCTGATATTGTTAAACCAGCAGGCTGCATTACTCATACAAAACAACTCATTCAGCAAAGTTTAAAAAAATACCTCCTTAAGAGTGTAGGACATTTACCCTGTTAAAAAAAAGTCATAGTTTAAAACTATGCATGTGATCTTCGAAGAAGTTTCACAACATATTTCGAAAGCAATGGATTATGTTGTCGGATACAGCACTCAGATTTTCCAAGTTGTCGAATTGTTTGGCCTGAATTTGTCAGATCGGGTTTCTGTTCAACACATTTGGCTCAATCAGGGAACCTGGTTTATGTTTTATTTTAGCTCTTCTCTGAAATGCTGTCTCGAAACTGAAACTCCTCACGTATATCGACAAGCTACAATCCGAAATCCAGCGTTAATTTACTGATTTAAGGAAAAATGGGTATAAACAAGGTAGAATGGCTTGGCTTTTTTTTTTGTCAGATTTCAACTTGGCACTGTGTTCTTGATCTTAATATAATTTGAAAGTAAGTATTGGATTATTGTAAAGTTTAAGGAAATGATAGCCATAACAACTGTGGAAAAAAATCCATCTTAAGGAAAATGGCCCGAGGAACAAAACAAGGCTTTCTACCCTAAATGACAGTATAGGTAAGGAAAGTGTTGATGAGAGAAGTGACGGCATGTCCCCAAATTATCACTATCTACCACAAGTTGGAGAACAACTGACAGAACAACTTTTAGAGCAAAGAACATAAAACGCGGATGTTTCGTCAAAGGTTTGCTGCACATTATGCAGGTGACGACACAACCATGTGGAGAAGGTGCTCTGCTAATGAGCAGTAAAACGTATTTCTACGCTTACATGCAAAATACTGTGTAAACAGGAAACCTATGAAGCATATGTGTAAGAATGGCCCACAGAGCAGATATTTTTATTTGAAAAATATCCTTTTTCTTTATTTGGTTGCATCCAATCCAGGAGGTCCTTTCTTCCAATTTTATTGTCCAGACTAAAAGTGGACTTTATCCTTTTCTTCTGGTAGGGTTTGCTTTCACATTGCACTGTTTGTAAGTGAACAATAACTTGGAACAAAGCCGTGTGATGATCATTGCTCCCGTTAGACAGAGAAGACAGAGAGAAGGGCAGACAGAGCACAGACCTGGAAATGGAGGTGAACTACGATGTGTGTAGATCAGATATGAACCAGGATTGAACTGCACCAATGTCTGTTAGGTAGCGGACAAAGACCACCTTAAAGTGGGTCTTGGTTCAATTTTGTGGTTTTTAAGCAAATTTTTTTGAGATGCTCATAAGGTCAAACCCAAGCAGGAAACTACCTTTGTTCATTTTAAGCAGAGCAAAGGTAACGGTCGTGAATCTGCCCTAAACTCAAATTAAAATGCATTATTCTTGGTTTTAACGTGAACATTTCTGCACGTTAAAAGGGGTAGTAACACCTGAGCAAGGCACTGTGGATTTTTTACACCTCTGAGGCATCATTATGTCACTCTGACTTCATAATATTGGGCAAGCCTTTGTCTCTGAGATTTAATCTGCACATTAAAAGTGATCACGTTTAACTTAGTTCCTCTTTCTATTTATACACAACTTACATGTTCTTCCTGCTTAAAGTCTTCATTTTCAGCTAAAAGAATTGTGTTTAACAGAACCCCCCCTGCTGACTGGACAGCTTGATGGCACCTCAGTGGGCTTTGGTAGCCCACTCTGCCAATGCCGTTCTTCATTCCCCGCTTCATGAACAGTTTGGAGTTTTCTGCCATGGAAGATTTAAATGAAATGCTTGTAAGGGTCCAGTCCGCAGTGGTCGACCCAAGCGGGCGTCCCTGTCTGTCTCTGGCGCAGCCTTTGTAGTTGCAGGTGATGTAACGCGTAAAGGCCTCCCTGAATGTTTTATTGAAAAGAGTGTAGACAAGGGGATTTATTCCTGATGACACGTAACCAACCCATACAAAGATCTCCATCAGACGGGAAATGACTTTCTCAACACAGCTGGAGCACAGCGCAGAGGTGATGTTTGTTATGAAGAAAGGGCACCACATGACGACAAAAAGGAGGAAGACAATACCCAACACCTTTGAGGCTCGCTGCTCATTGCTTAGAGTCTGCATTGACTTCTTGCCCATCGTTGACATTCTACGGAAAGATATTTCATTCTCCATCTGAGCGTTCAGCATTCCTGGGGTTGTTTTCTCCTGCAGCCGAGAAAGTCTGACATCCAGCATGTTCATTTGCTCAGCTTGAGGAGAAGTGAGGGCTGGGTTGCTTTGGAAAACCGTGGCGATAGGCGAGGAGCTGAAGCGCTGGGTTACCTTCGAACGGAGCAAGTAAACCTTTTTGCGCAACACTTGCACGGTGAGAAGGTAGATGATCATCATGATGGTCAAAGGAATGAAGAATGCCGTCAGGGAGCCGAAGATGATGAAATCTGAGAAGGTGTCCGGTTTCAGCAGGCATGTGTGGTTATTGTTGAAGGTGATGTTGTTGTGAAGGTTCCTCAGCCCCTTTATTGGGATCGGGATTGCAATACCTGAGAAATGGAAATTACAGTTAATACAAGAAAGCTGTACTAAAACGATGTTTGCTCTGCTTCTACCATTGTGAACACAGATTCTAGTGTTGAAGCTTGGAGTTATAATGTACTTAAAGGGTAATTTCATAGGTTATTGATCCATTTTACCTTAGCAAATTAGCTTAAAAACAGCTAACTAGCTCTTAAATTGAGTTTTAAAAGCCACATTATGAAGTAAAACTCCATCAAACAGGGTAAATCTCTAATTGGGATACAAAGTTTGAGCTCAACATTTAAGTGCAGCAAAAAAGCACAAAAAGAAGAAATCTAAAAGTGCATCGGGCTGTAAAGTCTGAGCTAAATCCTAGCAGAAAAGAGTTTGCCTCTCAGGTGATCTTGATTCATTCAGTCAGGCAGCTATCAGACCGGGGTGTCGTTAGTGAAAACTTTACCCATTAAATGATTGATAAGTTGATGAGGCATTTATTTTTAACTCGGAGCCAGATTAGCTTGGAAAGCTTCTTTTTCTTAGCCTCGTGAGACCATCCTGATCTCGCGAGCTTTCAAGGTTTCACTCGCAGATCAGTCTGGAGACTCTCCGT